GCCGGACTGAGCCCGCGGGCGCTACGCCGGACTGAGCCCGCGGGCGCCGCGCCAAGACTCGGGAGCGGGCCCCCTGCTCCGTCCGCCGGGACCCATCTCTCCGAGCGAGCGCTGCGGCGCGGACTCCTGCCCTCGCCAGGGCCCGGACCAGCTCGGCCCCCCGGGCTCCGAGCGCGCGAATCACGAGACTGCAGAGCTGCCCAGGCTCCGCCTCGGCAGAGCCGGGCCTGGGGCGGCCCCAGGCGATAAGCTCACGTGTTCTGTTGTTTGAAGTGGTTTTTTTGCTCTATTTATGTTTATACTGGGCCCAATGTTCCTCCCCCTTGTTCTATGCGCCACATTCCAGTGTGCAGTAAAGTCTTGTGCCAGGAACGGTGTCTGCTGTGTCTCTCCTGCTGGGGGGGGAGCTCTGCCTTCAGAGCCGGGTTTGGTGGGTGCTTGCTGGCCGCCGGCCTGGGTGGTGCTTCACAAGGCAGAGGGAAGGAGGCTACCCCCTCTGCCTGACCTGAACTCCTTGTTGCAGAAGGGAGGAGACGCTGCCCTGAGCTACAAGGGGAGTGGAGGTGTAATGTGTGTCAAGCGCGCCCCCTCCTGCCCATGGTGGAAACGGCATCTATGCGCCCCCATAGGAAGAAGCTTCCTAGCTGTCAAGTATCAGGGGGGAGCGGTGTTAGTCTGTACCCACAAAAACAAGGCACCTTAAAGACTAACATGTATTTGGGCATAAGCTTTCATGGGTAAAAAACCTCACGAAAGCTTATGCCCAAATAAATCTGTTAGTCTTTAAGGTGCCACCGGATTCCTCGTTGTCTTCCTAGCTGGGTTCCCGCTGAGTAGGGCTTTGCCCTGGAGCACCTATCACCGGTGACTGTCCTTGGGGGAGCGAGGGGTGGTGTGCGCCAAAATGTTAGAGGCCATAATTCGGGCAATTCCTTGTAAGGACACCTGGCCCAGTTGCAAGTCAGCTTGTTCATTTCAGGCTGACTTTCCCTGCTGGTTAGTTGTGGCGGTGACTGCTGGAGTCTTGCTGTCATGTGAATTAATAGTCAGGCCTTGAAGGGACGATTGGGTGCAAAAAATGAACTGTCAGGTTCTTGGATCCATCACCCTTGGCCTGGCGTGCACAAAGAGGGGTAGAAAGAAGGAAATGAGTTGAGATACAAAATGGAAGTGTAAGGCGCTGCTTCGTTTCTTAGAAACCCTGTGGCTAGGCAAATAGACTTCTAGCTAATTGGAATTGACAGCTCTGCAACTTTCTTCTCAGGAAATGAACTTAAGCCCTAAACACACAGGTTGCCTTGGCCAATGGCCTGTGATACTAGATTACAGGAAAGGTCCAAAAGATTTTTCCCGGGTGGCAGCTCTGCCTTACTAAGATTTGCAGCAAACTGGTCAAGAGCTTAAAGGAAAACGCCTTTTTCAAAGTGTAAAACAGTGTCAGAAAGAGTGGGCCAGATGAAACTTTCATACTGAGGTGTCTTAGTATTTGACATCACCCACAGCGGGGTTGGTGGTTTCTAGAAGGGATAATCTTGCAAAATCAAGACCACAACAGCTCATTAGGTGAGTTGTGGTCGAGGCTCTAATTTTACCAGAAGTCTTAAGTTGCATTAAATGTTGTCACACCCCAAGTGGATTGCATGTGAGCCTGGTGGGGGGCCGCTTATCCCGGGCTGTTTAGCTCCCTCGTGCTCCTTTACTACTTTGAAAACAGGAATTCCAGGGTTAACTTGATCACGCTCAGGTTAGTTTTCGTAGGGCCAGGAAAGTAGGTGGTACAGTTCAGGCTGAGAGGAGTCCTCTACCTTTTCCACAGCTGTCTGAGATCCTTTTTAAAAACTAGCCACTTTTAATAGGACTCCAATGGGGTGTGTACGGCTTATATGGTACTTGGTTGCGCAGTGCGAGGCCCAGAGCTGGCTGACCTCACTGATACGGGTGCACAATCAAAATAGTAAACGCACCCAGTGAAGTGGATTCCAGCTCTGCTCCGGCCCTAGGGGGAAATAAAAACGAACCTTTGCCAAGGGGAAAGGCAGCGTTGGGAGGAGCTTTATTTTCAGCATTCCCAGACAATGTTGTAAAATGTTTAAAGAATGTGTCCTTAAAGGCTACACTTCTTCTTTGTGGGAGCAAGGAAACAGTTGTCTCCTGCCTTGTCTTTACTGTAGCAGAGAACCCCCAACTTCTGTCCCCAAACCTGTGCTGACATCAGGAATGAAGTGAACAAAAGAGCAATATTCGTTTGAGTGCTGTTACCAAATGGTGACAGACAGAAAATTGGCAGGAGGAGCCGTTTTCCAAGTAATGACTTGTCTAGGGAATGCCCTGTGGGGAGTGTACGGCATCAACGCGGCATCAAACCTAGTTTGGGAAGGGCTAAGTGACGCTCGGCCACCTCTAGGGTGAAATAGCAGGTTAACGGGGCACAGCATATGCATATCCCATGCGAAGGTGCTGTATTGAAAATACTACACCCAGGTAAGGCGCAGAGAGCAGGGGGGAATTGCCCAATTTGGAATTTAGCCAGACCCGAAGGGCTGCCTCCTTTGTTCCTGCGGAAAGTATAAATGGGCTTTTTACTGGCCTCCCATTAGATCCCCCGGGAAGCACTTCCAGCAGCTCTGGCCCTGTGAATAGCACGTGGGTCTGGTACTGGCCAGCTGGGAGGTGCCACTTCCTGAATAGCCTGTGCCCCCTGGCCCTCATCGCTGCTTGGCTTGGCGGGTTGCATGCATTAGGTGGTGCAGCTGTACGACTTTCAGAGCCTCTTCAAAACCAGCAGCCCAAGGCGCCCAATCTGAGTTCACTATCAAGAACGAGAACCGATGCCAGATCAGTGTCACGCAGCCTTTAATCACATCTTTGTTTTCAGTGTGTTGTCTAAAAACAACCACTCAACCCCAGAACCACCGTGCTTCCCTAGAACAAGAAAGGGTGACAAATCACTTTGGTCCTAACAACTTGGTGCAACTTGTACATTAGACTGTTCCAGCCAAACCCTGGAGGCAAAAGTCAGCAGGGGAAGAGGTTTAAAACTCTTATCATTTATGCTGGGAGATTACTTGGCACTGAGTCTTTTCCTCATTTGTCTAAACAGACAACAAAACTGAGAGGAATAAAAACCCATTTGCAGCCAATATAAATTAAACCTCAAAGCCAGCCCAGAGCAGGGACTCCACTTCCCAGACCCAGCCAGCGATCCCCAGCCTGAGAACAGCTTGTGTTGGATAAAACAGCTGGAAAGCCTCCTTTGGGGTTTTGCCTGGAAAGGAATAAACTTTGCTTCCCCAAAATGAAGGAACTCGCTGGTTGGCTTTCCCCTAACTGCTTATTTTGCAGGTTACGGGGTCAGACTAATCCCCACCCAGCCCCCAGAGAAAGGCTTTTCTCAGACTGGGTGAAATAGTCTAAAATGCGGTTTTGTCCATGCTTCTGTCCTTAAGCCAACCTGAAACTAGGGATGGTGGAACCAAACACTCTGCCTGGGAGCCAGACTCCTCTTCTCCTCCTCCCCTCCCCCCCCATGACCCTGGGCCCCAGAGCCTCGCTCACAGGTGCTGTTCAAGAACATATGGGCTGATGGTAGCACTGTGGCAGGATTAGGCTCAGCAGTCCCCACTCAGGCAAACAAACCAGTTCCTGGGGTCCCCAAGAAGTTACTGGGTGACGTGTTTAGGTTTGGGCACTGGAGATGGGGCTGAATCCACGGAGTGGTGCCTAAATGAGTGGTCTGGGTGTAGCAATCAGGCGCTCAACAGCGGTAACCTCTATTGAAGGGAAGCGAGGCTGAGACCCTGGGCCCCTGGCCCTGGCTTTGCGTTTCAGCAAAATTGTTGAGGGGTCAGCTCAAGCCCCACAGCCTGAGAGCCTGGAGCTGGCCTGCAGTGTCTCTGCCGCCTTCCTGCTGCTGGTTTCTCCCCTTGCTCTCCCTCGCCTTCATCTCCCGCCTGTGCTGGCCTCATTGCTTCATTCTCTCCACCTCCTTTGGCCCTGTGGGGTTCAAAGTGCTCCCTTTCCATCTGCCTGCCCGCCAGCCACGGACCTGGGCTGTCCTAGTGCCCGTCCTTCATGACACTGGCCCTCTGTCCCGGCTGTCCATGGGGCACCAGCCGAAGTGCTCTGCTACCTGGACAGCTGCAGAGAGGGAAACTTCTGTCTTCCTTCTCCCACCATGCACAGGCACCCAGCACCCTGATACTCCTGCCTCTCGGGTTTGCACTTTGGGCTGTCCGTCCCTCCCACCCATCACTTGTGGGTGATTGGCTGGGTGCCCCCCCTTGTTGAGTAGCCCCCTGTGACTGTTCGCAGGGTGCCCAGGGCTGTTACCGCTGGTTCAGTGACACAGACTGGACTGTGCTGAGCTGGGTGTCGGCTCCCTGGCACCAGTGGTCTGTGAGCCCCCCAAACAGTCTCTTCAGGGCTCTGCCTCACAGGTTAATGGTGGGTGCACCCCAGCCCCTGAGCTCCTCTGAGAGCACCTTTGGGCGTAGCCAGCCCTGTTACTGGATGCTCAGTCTTACCAGGTAGGCTGCCCCCAAAGGCACAACACACACGCCGGTCTGCGTGATCAGCTGGGGCTCAGCGCCAATAGAACACATCTCAGGGCTGTGGTGTTAGTGAAAGCAATCCCAGTGCGCGGGGAGGGACCAGGCCCTGCCCCAGAGCGTCTGATGGCACTGGGTCCACTTCCACCAGCCTCAGGTGCCACAGGGCATGGAGTGCACGTTCCACCTGCCGCTCGCTCGCCCTCCCTTTGGCAGCAGTGGTGAGGGGCCAGGTTTGTGTGCACTGGCGGGGGACGGCATGGGGCGCTGGGGGGCACTCGGAGAAACCCAGCGCCCACAGGGTGGGATCACCCAGGCACCTGGCAGAGCAGCTCAGTCTGGGCTCTCTAGGGGCTGGCCTTGGGGGGAGCTGAGGGACTTCTCAGGGTCTAGATGACCGTTGAATGACAAGAAGGCCCCAGGGAAGGGAAGGATGGGCTGGGGACAGGAGCCAAGGTGGTTTCCTCTTGCCCTCCACAGGGATGCTGCAGGGTGAGGTCAGGTTTAGGGGGGTGTGGTCAGGTAGAGGGGTCAGGGCTAGAATCTCCTCCCCCTGCCCCCCCCCCCCAACCCAGGGGCCATGGGAGTGAATAGTGACACTGTCAGGTGCCTGCTCTCCTCACATACGGGCCCAGGAGACAGGACCCCAGGGCTGCACAGAAGGCCTGGCCCTGCGTGCAGGTGCTGGGCTCTTTTGTACATCTATGCAGGTGGCACCACCTGCTGGTGGGCAAGTGCCTCTCCCAGTGCACTGACCGGCTAGGCTGCAATGGGCATTTTCCCCATAAATCCACCCCCCTTCCCTGCCCCTTTGTCAGTGGCATG